TACTCCAGTGAGAAAGAAGGAATGAATAAACCATGTGCCAGTTCCTTAAAGATGTTGAGTGTGCAAGGCTGAATGTGAAGAGGCCAAGAAGTTACATCCAATGGCAGTTCCGGATGTTGGCTGGGGGAGAAAGGAACCCCAAAAGATACCCAGTGGGAGATACAGTGATTAAATTGGAAGATAAGGAAGAACACTTAAGAAGTTCTAACCTATAAGGTATTCCTCATTAGTCTAATAATTTACTCATTTTATACTCCTCTTTTTTAAAAATTAATTTTAAATCATAACCTTAGTTTTTTTATGACTATCTGCCTACATTGCCCAAAAAGGTGTTATGGTGAATTACAAAAAATATAATGATTAATTGCCTATTCTTAGATTTATATCTAGCTACAAAGAATAAAACAAATGACTAATAAACAATACACATATATATGTGTGTTATATATGTTGTGTATTGTGTTATATTATATGTGTGTGTGTGTGTATATATATATGTATAAAATGAACTAAATAGAACTAAGAAAAAGAGAGCCAAAAGTCTAAAACAAGAAAATACAAGGCCCATTTGGCAAGTAAAGTCTAGAATGGAGTGGCGGTATTTTATAATCCCCAAGTTTTAGACTTGATTTGAACAACACGAAGGAAACAAAGCAGGTGTGTTGTTGTGAGCAAACCATGAAGGCCAAACCTGGAGGAATAATTCTCTGATAAAAGTTTTTGAGCAACCTCTGAGGCCCCTCTCAGTTAATGAAAGGGGAAGGCCTCAGCCCCAGCCAGTAAAAGTAATCGACAATACATTAAGATTATTTTATGTCCCTTGATATGAGGTACCGCAGTAAAACCTACCTTGCCTAGTCTACCCAGGGTAGGACCCGTGTTTTGAGGTGGAAACTAAGTTAAAGAAGGTGTTTGGTTTTTCCTGGGGAATTGGTTTTGTTTATAATCCACAAAAGTGCTGGGATTATAAGTGTGAGCCACCGTGTCCGGCATTATTTGACTTTTCAAAGAACTATCTTTTGTTTCTGTTTATTGCTGCTGTTGCATTGTCTATTCATTTCTGTTCTTTATGATTACCTTTCTGCCTTTATTTTTGGGGTTTACTCTCTCATAGTACTTAATGTGTTGGACCCTTAGCTAGTTAATTGTTTTTAATTTATCTGCTTTACAAAATAATCACTTAAGTCTAAAGTCTGTACATTTTCTCTTTAAGTATAACTAACTGCATTATATATTTGCTATTTTCTATTTTCATTGATACTTATTTATAAGTATTTTCTGACATCCATAATATAAGGTAGTGTTTTATAATTAGCTTTGAATATTTTTGGACTGTGCTCAATGTGGTCTGTAAGATTGATTCTTTAATATTTGCTGAAACTGACCTAATGTTTGGTCAAGTTTTGTTAATATTCTATGTGCACTTGAAAATAATGTGTATTCTCTAATTGTTGAATATCTGGTTTTATACACGTCCGTACATTTTTTCTGCCGCTTTTATCTATTACTAAGATGATTGTATTAGTCTTCCACTATTATATTGTCTTTGCTCCTTTGTCAAAGATCTGTTGAGGCCAGGTGCAGTGACTCACACTTGTAATCCCAGCACTTTGGGAGGCCAAGGGGGTCAGATCACCTAAGGTCAGGAGTTCGAGATTAGCCTGGCCAACATGCTGAAACCCTGTCTCTACTAAAAATACAAAAATTAGCCAGGCATGGTGGCAGGCGCCTATAGTCCCAGCTACTTGGGGTTACTGAGGCATGAGAGTTGCTTGATCCCAGGAGACAGAGGTTGCAGTGAGCTGAGATTGCGCCCCTGCACTCCAGCCTGGGTGACGGAGCAAGACTCTGTCTCAAAAAAAAAAAATTTAAAAAATCAGTTTACTATATTTATGTAGGTCTATTTCCAGGCTCTCCTGTTACATTGATCTCTCTATTCTTTTGCTAATACCACACAAACTGTCTTGATTACTGTAGCTTTATAGTAAGTCCTGAAGTTTGGTACTATCAGTCCTCAAACTTTGTTTTTCTCCTTCAATATTGAGTTAGTTATTCTGGATCTTTTACCTCTTCATATAAACTTTAGAATCAGTTTGTCAACATGCAGAAAATAACTAATTTGATAGGGATTGCATAGAATCTATAAATCAAATTGGGAATCTGAAATCTTGACAGTATTGAGTCTTTCTTGCTGTGAATATGGAATATCTCTCCACTTATTTAGTTCTTTGATTTCGTTCACAGAATTTTGTGGTTTTCCCTATATAGACCTTATACAAATTTTGTTAGATTTAATACCTGGGTATTTCATATTTAGGGGGGTGCTAATTTAAATGGTAATGTGTTTTTAATTTTAAATTCTGCTTGTATATTGCTGGTATATGGGAAAGCAATGGACTTTTATGTATTAATCTTGTATCCTGCAAATTTGCTATGATCACTTGTTAGTTCCAGGAGTTTTATTGTTTGTTCTTTCAGATTTTCTTTTTTTTTTTTTTGAGACGGAGTCTCGCGCTATGTCACCCAGGCTGGAGTGCAGTGGTGTGATTTCGGCTCACTGCAAGCTCCGCCTCGCAGGTTCACGCCATTCTCCTGCCTCAGCCTCCGAGTAGCTGGGACTACAGGCGCCCGCCACCACGCCCGGCTAGTTTTTTGTATTTTTAGTAGAGACGGGGTTTCACCATGTTAGCCAGGATGGTCTCGATCTCCTGACCTCGTGATCCACCCGCCTCGGCCTCCCAAAGTGCTGGGATTACAGGCTTGAGCCACTGCGCCCGGCCTCAGATTTTCTAATCATGTCATATCACCAAAGACAGTTTTATTTCTTCCTACCTTTAAATTTTTTGTTTATTTGTTTGTTTTGAGACGGAGTTTCGTTCTTGTTGCCCAGGCTGGAGTGCAATGGTGCGATCTCGGCTCACTGCAACCTCTGCCTCCCGGGTTCAAGCGATTCTCCTGTCTCAGCCTCCTGAGTAGCTGGGATTACAGGTGCGTGCCACTACACCTGGGTAATTTTTGGTATTTTTAGTAGAGAGGGGGTTTCACCATGTTGGCCAGACAAGTCTTGAACTCCTGACCTCAGGTGATTCGCCTGCCTCGGCCTCCCAAACTGCTGGGATTACAGGCATGAGCCACCACGCCTGGCCTCCTACCTTTAAATTGTTAACACTTACACTTGGTATACAGAGCCTTAAAAATTAATCACTTGGCTGGGCATGGTGGCTCATGCCTGTAATCCCAGCACTTTGGGAGGCCAAGGCGGGCAGATGGCTTGAGTTCAGGAGTTCAAGACCAGCCTGGGCAACATGATGAAACCCTGTCTTTACCAAAAATACAGAAAATTAGCTAGGTGTGATGGCACATGCTTGTGGTCCCAGCTACTCTAGAGGCTGAGGTGGGAAGATCACTTGAGCCTGCCTGGGAGGTGGAAGTGGTGGTGAGCCGAGATTGTGTCATTGCACTCCAGCCTGGGTGACAGAGTGAGACCTTGTCTCAAATAAAATAAAATTAAGTTAATCACTTGTCTTTGTACTTTCTCAATGTCTAGACTATTGACATTTTAGAGCAGATAATTCTTTGTTGTGGGGCTGTCCTATGCAATGTAGGATGTTTAACAGCATCCCTGGCTTCTACATACTAGATGCCAGCAGCCACCTTCGCCCCCACCGCCATCAGTCTTGACAATCCAGACATAGCCAAATGTTCCCTGCAAGGAAATATTTTCCCCAGTGGACAACTACTGGCCTAAATAATACAAGGACTTGAGCAAGATTTGATTAATCCATTTTATTTTATTTTTTTCACAGATTTTAAAACCGAGGAAGAGCTACTATCATATATATGTGAAAATTACCAAAAGACTGTGGCCACAGGAGAAATCATGTTGAATGCATGTGCTCGAAACATGATCTCAACCATTAAAATGTTCCTAAAATCAAAAGGCACCAAGGAATTAGAAGTAAGAGAATCCGAATATTGTTGTTTGTCATAGATGTAGTGGTTGGTTGGTTGTTGGTGGATTTGGTTAATATGTTGGAAAATGTCTGTTATGCCATACGTGATTCAAAAATGGTAAGATGAGTAAGGGAGTAAGTACAATTCCAGATCTCAGAAGGTGGATATGGTGAACTGGTAAGGCAAAAATCAAAGAGATGGGGTGAGCGGGGATAATTACATATAATTGTCTCCTAATGTAAAGCCTTTCCTCATGTGAGCTATATGTTAGCTGCATGATTAAACCAGTGGTTTTTAACCCTGGCTATACTTTAGAATCACCTACAACATTTAAAAAATATGTATATGCCGACTGGCCGCAGTGGCTCACACCTGTAATCCCAGAACTTTGGGAGGCCAGGGACACCAGCCTGGCCAACATGGTGAAACCCCGTCTCTACTAAAAATACAAACATTAGCTGGATGTGGTGGTAGGCACCTGTAATCCCAGCTACTTGGGAGGCTGAGGCAGGAGAATCGTTTTAACCTGGGAGGTGGAGGTTGCAGTGAGGCAAGATCGTGCCATTGCACTCCAGACTAGGCGACAGGGTGAGACTCCATCAAAAAAATAATAATAATAAAATAAATAAATAAATAAAATATATAGATATAGATAGATATAGATGCCTTGCTCTCTCCAGACGAGCTGAAACAGATCTCTGGGGTTGGTACTTTTAAAAAGCCCCCTGGATAATTCTTTGGCACTGGGAGTGTTACAAACCACTGTTTTTAGACCATGTTGTTTTATTTATGTTCAGTGGCCATCACAGAGCTCCTCTAAAGCAAACAGGAGGATTTGTTTATAATACTTAGGTTTCTTAATCACTGCTTTGTGGAACATTTCTTTTAAGACACTTTATTTAGGGCAGGCTTGTTTTATCCATGCCCACTAGCTCTCAAAAGAACTTTTTTACCATGTTCTTTTTAAAGATAGAAGAAGATTCATGTCACTTTTTCATTCAAATGAAAGAATAGAGAAGTTTATAAGGGAATGTATTTCCCTTCTTAGGGCTTTAGTCAACTGTGAAAGAAATTAGAAATAATGACAAGTAACACTATTCTCCTATGTAATAATTTTGTATTTTTAGATGAACTGCCTGAATCAAGTAAAAAGTAATCTCTTAAAAACTAGCAAAAGTCTTCGACAGAATCTAGGAAAAAAACTGGATAAGGAAGACAAAGTTAGAGAGTAAGTACCGTTTTTTAAAAATCATCTCTCCAAAACAAAGCTGTGAGATGAGCTTGTATCAGTTTAAAATAGATTGTTTGTGACACGGTGGCTCATGCCTGTAATCCTAGCACCTTGGGAAGCCAAAGCAGGAGGATTGCTTGAAGCCAGGAATTTGAGGCCATCCTGGGCAATATGGTGAGACCATGTCTCTACCAAAAAAATTTTTTTAATTAGGTGAGCATGGTGGTGTACACCTGTAGCCCTAGCTACTTGGGAGGCTAAAGCTGAAGGATTGTTTGAGCCCAGGAATTCAAGACTACTGTGAGCTATGATCCCAGTACTGCACTCTAGCCTGGGCAACAGAGCAAGACCCTGTTGCAGAAAAAAAGAAAAAAAAAAGATTACCAATTGCATGAAGATGCTTTTGTAGCCAATTCTTTTTGATGTTATAATATGCAGCTTGAATCACCTATTTATCTAATAACTATATCAGTTTTTAGAAAAGGCACTGGCTTTTCTCCTTTTTGATTGTTGTTTCTTATATAAATAGATCTATGCTTAAGGAAGGAGCTTTTCGTTTAGTGACATCCAAAGTAGATGTGACCAAGTTTTTTTTTTCTCTCAAGGTGCCAGCTTCAGGTATTTCTTCGTTTGGAGATGTGTCTGCAATGCCCTTCAATAAATGAAAGTACAGATGATATGGAACAAGTAGTGGAGGAGGCAAGTATATAGCTTCGTGCCATTAAAATAAGCCCTAGATGCTTTGAGCTTCCCTGCAGAGGGCATCTATCTAGTAACGTTCTAAAATCTCCTTCAGGTGACAGATTTGCTGCGCATGGTATGTTTAACTGAGGATTCAGCGTACCTAGCTGAGTTTCTGGAGGAAATTTTGAGATTGTAAGTTTGATGATTACTAACTTAACTTTAAAATTGTTTTGTCAATACCTACATATGGTGTTGTCTCTGAATTTTGGAGTTGTAAGGACTACTTCTTAGGCTGGGTGAGGGAGGGAAGAGAGAGGGTAAGATGGTAACTCTGTTCCATATTCAATCAATCTATTCCACAGGTATATTGACTCTATCCCAAAGACACTTGGAAATCTTTACAACAGCCTAGGGTTTGTGATTCCTCAGAAGCTGGCTGGTGTCCTTCCTACAGATTTTTTCAGTGATGACTCCATGACACAAGAGAACAAATCACCACTTCTTTCTGTGCCTTTTTTGTCAAGTGCTCATAGATCAGTGTCAGGCAGCCCTGAATCTGATGAACTGGAGGAACTTCGTACCAGATCAGCCAAGAAAAGAAGGTAAGAGCTCAAAGAATCAAAGGAATTATTTGCACTGTTATAGTTCTGATAAAAGATGTGTTTAAACCACAGTCCAGTCATATTTGTCCATATAATTTGTTGAACTAATAGCTGCCCTTATGTCTGACCAACTATATAGAAGCCAACTATTAGAGCTCCTAATAGGAGCATCTGACAATCTTTATATTATCTAGGAAATATATAGTCATGTTTTGCTTAACAACAGGGATACATCCTGATAAATGCGTTGTTAGGCAATTTTTGTTGTACTAACATCAGAGTGTGCCTACCAAAACCTAGATAGTATATGTTTTTTCGAATGGAAAAGCTAATGTTCCAGCATTGTTACTGAGGAGCAGTCATTTCCCCTACTTGATCTGTAATGCCAATATCAAGTGTCATATATGAGGTTTCTGAATAGGCTCCATTATAACCTATGGGACCTTTGTCATATTTGCAGTTCGTCATTGAAGGAAACATTGCGTGACTGTATAGTGTTTATTTCGTATTTCACAAAGCCTTCTTTACTGTCCACAGGAGGTCTCCAGGAACTAGGCCTTTTATGAAATAAGCTTAGAGTTTCAGCTTTTAAAATTTTCCTTGATGCTTTTCATTGTTCATAACTAGTTGAATTTGTTACTTTTGAAAATTCTGGGGTGACTTGTTTTATTATAAATCCAGAACAACCTTAAGATAACTGGCTTTTATTTAAACCATATTTTATTTCACTTAGACTCTAGTTCCATTTGAATTTAACTATATATAACCTCTATCTAGATGTATTGACTATTTCTATTTTTAAAAGGAAAAATGCATTAATAAGACATAAAAGCATTGCTGAGGTTTCACAGAATCTTCGACAAATTGAAATTCCTAAAGTGTCAAAGAGAACTACGAAAAAGGTAAGTAATCCTTCCAGTTTGAGATGACACAGTAAATAAGAATAAAAAGGCAGTGTCCCTACTTTTAGGAAAATGAACTTTGGAGGATACAGAAATAATATTAAATATTTTTATGAATGTGTATAAAACTATAATCCAAGGAATAGGAAAATATAAACTTGTTAAGAGATTAACAGTTTTACTGAAGAGTGTGATATTTAGAGGTAATGTGAGGAAAAACGGTGAGTAAAAGTTAGGAATGAATTAATTCAAAATCTTTAATGTAGATAAGAAAACTCATAAAACAATAACTAAAATAAGCAAAGCGGTCGCTGGAAGAGAATATATAATCGTAATAGGACTTCGGTTGCATACCAGAAGGTGCTTTTCCATATGTTGTGTTTTACTTCAATAACAAATTTAGGCCAGGCACAGAGGCTCACACCTATAATCCCAGCACTTTGGGAGTCAGAGGAGGGAGGATACTTTGACACCAAGAATTTGAGACCAGCCTGGACAACATAGCGAGACCTTGTCTCTACAAAAAATAAAATTTAAAAAAAAATTAGCCAGGCATGGTGGCACATGCCTATAGGCCCAGCTATTCAGGAGTCTAAGGCGGGGAGATCACTTGAGCCCAGGAGGTCAAGGCTGCAATGAGCTATGATCGTGCCACTGCACTGCAGCCTGGGTGACAGAGCAAGACTTCATGTCTTTTAAGTGAATGAATGAATGAATGAATAATAAGTTTTTTGAAAAAAAAGATGATGACGGTCATGGAGCCGGGAGGTAGAGTAGTCCCCCCTTATCTGCAGAAGATATGTTCCAAGACCCCCAGTGGATGCCTGAAACAGGTAGTACTGAACCCTATATATAGTACTGTTTTTTCCTATGCATGCATAAGTTCAGTTTACAAATTAGGCACAGTAAGAGATTAACAACAACAATAATAAAATAGAATAATTATAGCAATATAATATAATAAAAGTTATGTGAATGTGGTCTCCCTCTCAGAATATCTTAATTGTACTATATTCACCCATTTTGGGGCCATGGTTGACTATGGGAAACTAAAACCGTGGAAAGTGAAATCACAGATAATGGGGTACTATTGTTGTTTTTTTTCGTGGCAGTTGATATAAGGACTTGAGGTTTTTATTGGTTGAAAAAAAAATAAACCTAGCTGGAATTTGTTTACTGAGTAGAATTAATGTCTTGCTAAGGAAAAAAGGGACTAAAAATACAATGAAACTTTTCAACTGCACGAACTATCTGAGAAGAGTTAAAATTTAATGAGAACTATCTTTAGAAGCATTAATTATTATAATAGTGGTTTGTTGTGTTTCTAGATATTTGTAGCTATCCTTTGGAATTGGAGGTGGGATTTCTTTTAACGGGTTAATGGTGTTCATTTTCTTATACTTTAACTGTGAATAAAATGCAAATCTTACATATCTCACAATCCTCATTGAAGATTGGAAAATTCAAAACTGAATGGCCAAAAGTTGCCAGGCCTTTATTCTCACTAGATTTCATAATGATTTGCAGATCTTTCTAGCACACTTTGAAACTTTTGTTTTAGATTACACAAGATAGTTTTCTTCTCTAAGATCAGAATTACGATGGGCACAGTGGTTCGTGCCTATAATCCCAGAACTTTGGGAGGCCAACGCAGGAGGAATCACTTGAGCCCAGGAGTTGGAGACCAGCCTAGGCAACATAGTGAGACCTTGCCTCCACAAAAAATTAAAAAATTAGGTATGGTGGCGCACTCCTGTAGTCCCAGCCACTCGGGAGGCTGAGGTTGGAGGATTGCTTGAGCCTGGGAGTTTGAAGCTGCAGTGAGCTATGATCAAGCCACTGCACTCCAGCCTGGGTTACAGAGAGAGACTCTGTCAAAAAAAAAAAAAATTTGAGGTCAGGATTTGATTGTGGTTAGTAACTTTTTTTATGTCAAAGTTGGTACCATAGATAAGTGACAGTTGTTGAACTGAAAGGACCAGATATTACATTTTTAAAAGAATAAATCTCAGTTCTCCGAACGATCAATATAGTTAACTCGGGAAGCAGTGAACTTACAACTCAAGTGTAGATATGTAGTATTAATTACATTAATGTATATTAATTTCTTTTATGCATCTTAACTCCAGAAGAGCACAATGATTTAAAAAAAAGAAGTTTGATCCTGCCCTAATACCTCCAGGACATACTCTCCTAGTTTTTCATTCAATTACATGGATTAACAAGGGTTGACAAACTTTCTCTGTAAAGGGCCAGATAGTAGATGTTTTAGCCTTTGCAGGCCATACGTCTCTGCAACATCTATTCAGTTCTCCTGCTGTAGTGGGAAAGCAGCCACAGGCATTATGGAAAGAAACGAGCATGACTGTGTTTCAGTAAAAACTTTATTTTCAAAAATAAGAGGTGGTTCAGATTTGGTCTATACACTGTAGTTTACTAACCCCTGGATAGGAAATTGGATGTATGACTGTTTTTTTTTTTGTTTGTTTTTTTTTTTGAGACAATCTCTCTCTGTCGCCCAGGCTGGAGTGCAGTGGCACAATCTCAGCTCACTGCAAGCTCCACCTCCCAGGTTTATGCCATTTTCTTGCCTCAGCCTCCCGAGTAGCTGGGACTACAGGCGTGCGCCACCATGCCCGGCTAATTTTTTGTATTTTTTAGTAGAGATGAGGTTTCACCGTGTTAGCCAGGATGGTCTCAATCTCCTGACCTCGTGATCCACCCACCTCGACCTCCCAAAGTGCTGGGATTACAGGCATGAACTACTGTGCCTGGCCGGATGTATGACATGTTTTTACAATTACAGTTTATCTCTTTAAAAGAGTTATTAATCAATATAAATAAGAATGATCACATCTCATTTCTTATCAGCAAGACCTTGGTTATATCACTGAGACCATTTTTTAAGTTTCTGCCCATATGTGGTGGCTTCTTCAATTATTACGATGAATTGAAAAAACAAAAAATCTTTTAAAAAAAAAACAATTTCCTTGTTTCGATGCATCTGGGGTTTAGACTCTTGAATCTTCTACTGTAATAGCAAGTAAATAGCAGTCTGATAAAGAAATGTTTCTGAGAGTATAGCCACCCTCTAATTAATGTATATGGCTTTTCCTTTCTTAGGTAAAAAGGTATACATGATTATCATTAAAACATATAAAGTTAAAAGTTAGGGTGTTCCTTCTCCATCCATTCATCAGAAGTAATCACTGATGATAGTTTGTTGTGTATATTTCCAGGCCCTTTTCTATATGTGCCAATAACACCAAAGATTTCTGCAGATCCATTATAGACATATATATAAATGATATAACTTAGAATACTTAATATTTTCCGTTTTCTTCCCTATCACAGATCTCTATGTTAGTACAGGTTGAGTATCTCTTACCCAAAATGCTTAGGAGCAGAAATGTTTCCAATCTCAGATATTTTTGGATTTTGGAACAATTGCATTACATGTACTTACTGGTTAGCATCCCACATCCAGAAGTCCAAAATGCTCCAATGAGTGTTTCCTTTGAGTGTCGTGTTGGCACTCAGGAAGTTTTGGATTTTGGAGCATATTGGATTTTCAGATTAGGGATGCTCAACCATATATAGAGAGGTCTTCCTTCCTTATTCTTGTAATGTCCGCATTGGATGGGTGTGTAATTTATTTAACAGTTTCACTTTTTGTGGGCATGTATAGTGTTTTTTATTTTGTATTATTACTATATAGTGCAGCAGTGTTTTTGGAACATTTCTGTGGTACATTTTATTATTTCTACTATGGATTCCTATAAATGAATTGCAAGAGTCAAAGGGTTCATGTGAAATCTTTATTCTTTTATTTCAATGAATGCCTATTTAAATTTTCTTTCTGGATTTTCTCATGTTTCAGGAGAACTCTCACCCTGCTCCCCAGCAGCCTTCCCAGCCAGTGAAAGATACAGTGCAAGGTATACTGTTTTCTCAGTGTATATATTTATTCACTAGAATGACAACTTTATTTTTATTGTATGTATTTAAGCAGCTGCTTACAAGTGTAAATTAAGGCTTTGTATGATTGTTGGCTAATAAAGTATGTCCAAATACCATGGACATGGTCCCCTAGGAATAGTCTCAAAATACTGTATTTTGCAAAATAACTGGTCTGAAATCTTAAAAAAAAAAAAAAAAATTATCATGAAAGCCGGAAGAAAGGAAAAAGAAAAGAGGCAGTGAAACTGTTTTAGATGAATGGAGTTTAAGCATGACGGCTAAATGCATTCCATGATCCCTGCTTGGCTCTTAAATTTAGGGGAAAAAATACTAGAAAGGATATTATTGAGACAACTAGAGAAATTTGAAGAAGCGATGTATGCTAGATAATATTGTATCAATGTTAAAGATATTTTGAGTGTAATAATGTCATTGGGGTTATGGAAGAGAACATCCTTGTTTTTAGGAGATACATGCTGACCTTTAGGAAGTGAACAGTTGCGATGTTTGCAACTTACTCTCCAGTGTTTAGGGGAATAATGTACATATAGAGAGAAGGAAGGAGAAAACAAATATTGTCAGTTGGTGAACTTTATTGATGGGCATATGTTTAATTTTATTATTATTTGAAATTTTCTATAGATATTAAACTTTTCAAAACATTGGGAAAATAGAGAATAACAAACCAAATTTGGCTTTCAGGTCATAAATCAATTTCACCAACAGCCTAAGTTAGGTAACAGGAACTCTTATAATGGAGATAGGGAAACAATTTTTAAAACTTTGGTATGTGTTATTGATGTCCTTAATAACCTTAATATGAACCTTTATGTCATTGATGGGTAAACACAAGGGTTGCTCCCAGTTTGTGGATGCTAGATTATTTGGTTTGGGTTTAAATGATTAATCTTTGAAGAATTCACCCTTGGTGAATTTTTGAACCACTTGCACTAGGCTATCTTAAGATTAAGGTATCGTCTGGCTAGATTTGCCAAGTACTTCTTGACTTTTCAGCTATTTTTTCTAACTTTGAGTCTAGATGATCAGAACTTTCATGCTTTGGAGTCAAGAATAAAATTTAAAATGTCCCAGCAGCTTAGTAAAGTAGTCCGAAGAAGAAGAAAGAAATCTGTAGAACTGAAAAGAACAATTCTCTGCTCAATGCTGAGCTGAATACACAGCAGCAAAAAGGTCCAAAATGAGAAGAATAATCATAACATGGGATATATTAAAAGGATCATGACCTCTGTTAGCCATCCTCTTACTTAAGAATTATGTCCATTTTACAATGAGTAAAGTTTCTAACTTACTAAGTGGTGTGGGCCTTCCTCGTGTTCCTGAAGTTAGATTTAAATTGAATTCGTAATGGAATACTACAAACCACTGTATACCAACACTTTGGATAACCTAGATGAAATGGACAAATTCCTAGAAAGATACAAACTACTAAAAACAGACTCAAGAAGAAATAGAAAATCAGAGTAGATCTATAACACGTAAAAAGTTTGAATTAGTTATCAAAAAACTACTCACAAAGAAATGCCCAGGAGTAGAAGGTTTCACTGCTGAATTCTATCTAGCCTTTAAAAAAGAAATTAGCACTAGCATTTATTATGGTCAACTGATATTTAGGGTACCAAGACAATTTGATGGAGAATGAATAGTCTTTTGCACAAATGATGCCGAGACAACTGGATATCCACATGCAAAAGAATGACATTGTACCCCCTACCTCATGCAAAATAACATATAAAATTTTTTTAAATTTGCAAAAGTAGATATTTTTAATGCATTATGGGAATATACTATTTAAGGAAACCTTATTAGCATATGTGACAATAGCAATCTGTAGAGTAGTTTCCTTAAGAAGCCTCTCTGTTTTGGTTATCTTTCTTTTCTCAGATATGGCATTAATTGATGATAATCTTTGGCTTTTTCTTTTTCTTTTTTTTTTTTTTATGCTTTCAGAAGTGACCAAAGTACGAAGAAATCTTTTCAACCATGAATTGCGTTCCCCTTCAAAGAGATCACTAAAGCGGGGATTGCCTAGAAGCCATTCTGTGTCAGCTGTGGAAGGTCTAGAGGATAAACTTGACAACTTCAAGAAGAACAAAGGTACCACATTTCAGAATAGCTAGGAAAAAGGAAAAGGTTATTCTGTAAGATTGGTAGTAATGTACTGTCTTTCTTTCCTGATTTAGTAATTTGAGTCTTCTTCCCTCTTTTTTCTTTCAGTCTAGCTAAAGGTTTGTCAATTTTGTTAATTTATTTATTTATTTATTTATTTATTTTTTTGAGACAGGGTCTTCCTCTGTCACCCAGGTTGGAGTGCAGTGGCACAATCTCGGCTCACTGCAGCCTCCATCTCCCAGGCTCAAGTGATTCTCCCACCTCAGCCTCCTAAGTAGCTGGGACTACAGGTGTACACCACCACACCCAGCTAATTTTTTATATTTTTTTGTAGAGATGGAGTCTCATCATGTTGACCAGGCTAGTCTCAAACTCCAAGCTCAAATGATCTGCCCTTCTCGGCCTCCCACAGTTGCTGGGATTATAGGCATGAGCCACCACACCCAGTCAATTTTGTTAATCTTTTCAAAGAATTTACTTTGGTTTATTGATTCTTCTCTATTGGTTTTCTTTGTCTTTTTTTTTGAGACAGAATCTCTCTCACTCTGTCTCCTGGGCTGGAGTGCAGTGGCGTGATCTCGCCTTACTGCAACCTCTGCCTCCCAGGTTCAAGCGCTTCTCCTGCCTCAGCCTCTCCAGTAGCTGGGATTATAGGCATGCGCCACCACGCCCGGCTAATTTTTGTATTTTTAGTAGAGACGGGGTTTCACCATGTTGAGCAGGCTGGTCTCCAACTCCTGACCTCAAGTGATCTGCCCACCTCAGCCTCCCAAAGTGCTGAGACAGGTGTGAGCTGCCACGTCTAGCCTCTGTTGGTTTTCTAATCTCAGTTTCATTTTTTTTCCCCCTCTATTGGCTTTGGTTTTTGTTTGCTATTTTTCTACTTTTTTAAGGTGAAGTTTAAGCTATTGATTTGAGATCTTTTTTAATAAAGCACTGCTTTAGGCATATCCTATAAATTTTGATATGATTTGTTTTTGTTTTCATCATCTCAAGATATTTTCGAATTTCCCTTGTGATTTCTTCTTTGATCCATTGGTTATTTCGGAGTGCATTAATTTCCACATACATGTATTTCCTAAATTCTCTTCTCTATTCTAGTTTATTCTATTGTTGTAAAACATACTTTGTATGATTTCAGTCTTTTGAAACTTGAGACTTATTTTATGGCTTAACATTTGGTCTACTCTAGAGAATGTTTAATGTGTGCTTGAGAAGAATATGAAAGATTCTGTAGATGTGTGTTTGGTCTAGTTGATTTATGGTATTATTCAAGTCTTCTGTTTCCTTGTTGAGCTTCTGTTTTATTGTTTATTCATTATTCAAAGTGGCATATTAAAGTCTCCAGCTATTACTGTTGAATTGTTTATTTCTCCCTTCAGTTCTGTCAATTTCTGCTTCTTGTATTTTGAGACTCTGTTCTTAGGTATATATGTTAATAATTATTATGTCTTCTTGATCAATTAAACTTCTTACCAGTAGGTAATGTACTTTGTCTTTTGTAACCTTTCTTAGCTTACAGTCTGTTTTGTCTGACAATAATACAGCTCCCCATTCACCAGCTCTTTTGCATAGGATATCTTTCATTGTCCTTTTACTTTCAACCTTAGTGTCTTTGTATCTAAATTAAGTATCTTATAGACCTCATAGAGTTGGATCATGTTTTTTTAATCCATTCCGCCTATCTCTGCTTTTCAATTGCAGTGCTTAATCCACTTCTATGAATGTAATTACTAATAAGGAACAACTGTCATTTTCTATGTTTTATGCCTTTTTGTTTCTCAATTCCTCAATTCCTGTTTTTTGTATTTAGCTGATTTTTTGTAGTGTACTAGTTTAATTCCCTTCTTGCTTTTTCTGTATATTTTTAAGTTGTTTTCTCAGTGGTTACCTTGGAGATCACAATTAGCATCTTAAGCTTAAATGAACCTGGCTTTATGAATAAAGCCAACCTCTTTTCAATAATATACACTCTGCTACTATATATTTCTGTCTCTCCTTCCTTATATTGTTGTAGACTGCATCTTTATACATTGTGTACCTGTTAATACAGACTTAAATTATATAGGATTAAAAAAAAAACCAAAATTACCATAATGCTGGCTTTTATATTTATCTATGTAGTTACCTTTACCATTGCTTTTTATTTCTTCTTGTGGCTTTGAGTTATTGTCTAGTACCTTTCATTTTAGTTTTTCTTATAGGGTAAGTCTACTGATTATGAACTCCCTCAGCTTTTATCTGTTTGGAAATGTCTTACTTTCGACTTTATTCCTGAAGGACGTAGAATTTTTGGTTGACAGTTTTTTTTTTTCCCCCTTCAGAACTTCAGATGTGACATCCACTGCCTTCTGGTCTCCCAAATTTCTCATGAGAAATCAACTATTAATCTTATTAAGCTGCTTCTCTATTGCTGCTTTCCAGATTCTCTCTTTGTCCTTGGGTTTCAACACTTCAACTACAATGTGTCTCAGTGTGAATCTCTTTGAGTTTATTCTGCTTGGAGTTCATGGAACTTCTTGGATGTATATGTTCATGTCTTTCATCAGATTTTGGAAGCTTTTAACCATTATTTCTTCAAAAAATTTTCTGCTGCTTTTGGTCTCATTTCCTCGTTGGACTCACATGATGTATGTGTTGGTACACTTGACAGTGTCCTACAGGTCCCTCAGACTTTGTTCTTTTTTTTTAATTGTTTTTTCTTTCTGCTTAGGCTGGATAATTTCAATTACCTTATCTTCAAGTTCACTGATTCTTCTGCCAGCTCAAATCTGTGGTTGACCCATCTAGTTAATTTTTTCATTTCAGCTCCAGAATTTCTACTGGATTCTTTTTTATCATTTCTATTGCTTTATTGATATTCTCATTTTGTTCATACATTATTTTCCTGATTTCCATTAGTTTCTTAATATATGGTTTAAGTGAGCTCATTGTGTGTATTTAGAGAGGTTGATTTAACATCCTTGATTAGTAATTCCAATGTCTTGGCTTCCTTAGTGACGGTTTCTGCCAAATTCTCTTTTCTGGTAAATAGGCCATACTTTCCTGCTTCTTTGTATACTTTGTAATTTTTTGTTGAGGACTAGTTATTAGGGATATTATAATGTGGTAACTGCGTGGAGGTCAGATTCTGTCATCCCTCAGGGATTCCTATTCTTTGCTTATTAAGGACTTCAGCTATTCATTTGTGCCTTTTCCGAACTATTTGTGTAAAGTATGTATACCTTGTTACGTGTGGTCACTGAAGTTTCTGTCTTTTATCTCGGTGGTCAGCCAATGACCTAAGAAGGATTTCCTTAAATGTCTGATTCAAGAAAGGAGTGGGGGGAAGGTGTGTCTGTCCCTTAATCTTCTGATAATTGGGAGAAACCCACTGTAGCCTAAGACAGCTAAAACCAAGGCAGTGTGTGCACTGCTCCTACAGGAATCTGCCTGATTGACCAAAGCATGTAACCCCCAATTTTTGGAGGACCAGGTCCTCACTGTCTGCCCTAGCACCAACCAGCTGCTCCTGGAATGTGGGCTGCTATCCCAATAGCTACAGCAGGGCTGAGTTCACGCACATGCACATCATTCCCTTCCTAAAGATCAGCAGCCTCTCCCATCATCAAGTACTTCCCAGGTTATTAACAAGTATTCAGTCAAGTTCAGAGGTTCCAAAATAGTGAATTCTGATCTTTTTTTCTAGTTTACTAGTTATTTTGGTTGAGGGACTGACTCCTAGAGCTTTCTTCTCCATCAACCTCACTCCCCCTGGAGATTACAATTATGATATTAACTTATAACAGCCTAGTTCTCATTGATACCAATTTAACTTTGATAGTTTATAAAAACTTTGCTATTGTGTAGTTCTGACTATCCCTTCTTAGTTCTATATTGTCATGCAAATTACATCTATACATTGTATGCCCATCAACACTGATTTATAATCATTACTCTGTCTTTTAAATAACAGGTGGGAACAGTTACAAATGAAAAACACTTATAATGTTTTTCTTGTATAGTTACCTTTACCAGTGCTGTTTAACTCTTTATGTGGATTTGAGTTACCCTAGTGCCCTTTCCTTTCAGCCCATAGGACTCCTTTTAGTATTATTTATAGGGTAGGTCTGCTAATGACAAATTCTGTTTTATTTTGTTTCAATCTGAGAATGTGCTGATTTTTTCTTCATTTTTGAAGAATACTTTTATTGGGTATAGAATTTCTGGTTGACAGTCTTTTTTCTCTCAGTACTTTGAGTATGTCATCACACTGCCTTTTGTCCTTTGTTTCTGACGAGAAAGCAGCTGCTAATCTCATCAAGGATCTATACACAATGAATAGCTGCTGTCTGACTCCTTTCAAGATCTTCTCTTTTTCACTTTTGATAGTTTGATTATGATTTGTCTGGGTTTGGGTCTCTTTCACTTTATTCTACTTGTATTGAGTTTCTTAGATGTGTAGTGTCTTTCATCAGATTTGGGTCATTTTTAGCGAATATTTATTCAAATATTCTTTCTACCTCTTCCTTTCTATCCTTTCCTTCTGGACTTCCGGTATGTGTGTGTTGTTGCGCTTGATGATGTCACAAGTGTCTGAAGCTCTGTTCATTTTTCTTCGTTCTTTTGTCTTTATTTTCCTTAGACTGGATTATCTCAATTAACCTGTCTTCAAATTTGTTGACTCTTTCTTCTGCCACCTCAAATCTACTTTTCATTTTTGTTACACTTTTTAACTCTAGAATTTCTATTTGCTTTTTTTTTTTTTTAACGATTTCCGTCTGTTGATATTCTGTTTGGCAAGTCATTGGACTCATGTTTTAGATCTTTAGATATGATTTTCTTTAGTTATTTGAACATATTTAAAACAGCTAATTTAAAGTCTTGTTCTAATAAGTTCAATGTCTGGACTTTTCTCAGGGACAGATTCTATTGCTGATTTTTTTTTTTTCCCTGTGAATGGGCCATACTTTTGTGTTTTGTTTCTTTGCAAGACTCATAATTTTGTTGACAACTGGATTTGTTTTATATTATTTTATTTTATTTTATGTATTTATTTTTTGAGATGGAGTCTTGCTCTGTCACTCAGGCTGGAGTGCAGTGGTATGATCTCGGCTCACTGTAGCCTCAACCTCCCTGGCTTCCTGGCTTAAGCAATCCTCCCACCCCCTTGGCCTTCCAAGTAGCTAGCTGGACTAAGGCATACACCACCACTCTTGGCTAATTTTTGTATTTTTTTGTAAAGATGTAGGTTTCACCACGTTGGCCAGGCTTGTCTTGAACTCCTGAACTCAAGCAATCCGCCTGCCTCAGCATCCCAAAGTTCTGGGATTACAGGCATGAGCCACTGCACCCAGCATGGATATTTTAAACAATATAATGAGGCAGCTGTAACAATCAGACCCACCCCACCCCTGCCAGGATTTGTTGTTGTTTTTGCTTAGTGACTTTTCTGAACTATTTGTTTAAATTTTGTATTCTTTGTCATGTGTGGCCACTAAAGCCTCTGCTCAGTTGTCTTAGTGGTCAACTAATGATTGGACAGAGATTTCCTTAAATGCCTGGAACCCATAAGTTTCACAGCCCCTGCTGAGGGGCTCTTTGTGTGTTGGGTCATGCCTTCAACACTCAGCCAGGCAGTTTAGAATTCCACTTCACTTTCTGTTTTGCCAGAGCCTCAAGGTTAGCCATAGGTGGCAGCTTACAGGCTTCTCAAGTCTATCCTTGGCACATGCACAGTGCTACACATGTGTGTGGACCTTTGGATGCCTAAGAATATCGTCAGAGGTTTGCAAAGTCCCCTGTGATGTCTCATTCCCCAATTTTCCCAGTTAAACTTTTGGCCAGCTTGTTATTGCACCAAATGTTACCACCACCCCAGGCAGCTGTGACATTTAACAGTTGCTGCTGATTGTTTTCAGTAAATGCTGTCAGGGAAAAAGGTGGTTGACCTGTTCTGATTCAGGTCAAATCAAGACAAGCCTCGATTTGAGTAGGATTCTACAGGGAACTGCCTGACAGGTTAATGGATGACAGTTATCTGAGAATGGAATTTTGGAGGAGCTCCAGCCCCATTCTGCCCTGTCCAGAGGCTGCTGGGCTGTTGGTTTTCACTGTGATTATGGGCAGTTGATTTTTAAAGCTAGGGGGAAGGGGTGGGGACTAAGGCAAGTTAAAGCTTCCTGAGATTCAACCATTTTTCTTGAACAAATACACCCTAGATTGTTGCAAACCTTTAGTTAATGTTCAGAGTTCTGGAAAAGTTGATTTTTGACCATTTTTCCCAGTGATCTCTGTTTCTTTATGGAGGAGAGTGTTCAGAGGTCCTTACCTCACCATTCTTACTGGCATCACTCTTCTTTACAAGTCATTTTAAGCTCACTTTAAAATCAGTCCTCTCATAAGTAGCTTGGCTGCCTACTCTACTGAGAAACTTTGTGCCACCTAGGTATATCTTTTTTTTTTTTTTTTTTTTTTTTTTTTGAGGCGGAGTCTCGCTCTGCCGCCCAGGTTGGAGTGCCGTGGCCGGATCTCAGCTCACTGCAAGCTCCGCCTCCTGGGTTCACGCCATTCTCCGGCCTCAGCCTCCTGGAGGCTGGGACTACAGGCGCCCGCCACCTCGCCCGGCTAGTTTTTTGTATTTTTAGTAGAGACGGGGTTTCACCGTGTTAGCCAGGATGGTCTCGATCTCCTGACCTCGTGATCCGCCCGTCTCGGCCTCCCAAAGGTATATCTTAATAATTAACATTTATGTGGCATATCAGCATTTTCACATATTTCATTTAATCATAAATACTAGAACCACCAATTAGGTGTTAGTCTTAACAAGTGAGCAGTTTTCATTTTTTCAGAATTGCTTATGAGATAAAATTTTATATTTATATTGTCCTTTTTTTTTTTGAGATGGAGTCTCCCTCTGTCGCCCAGGCTGGAGTGCAGTGGCATGATCTTGGCACACTACAACCTCTGCCTCCTGGATTCAAGTGATTCTCCTGCCTCAACCTCCCAAGTAACTGGGCTTATAGGCACGTGCCACCTCGCCCAGTTAATTTTTGTATGTTTAGTAGAGACAGGCTTTCACCATGTTGGCCAGGCTGGTCTTGAACTCCTGACCTCAAGTGATCCGCCCTTGTTAGCTTCCCAAAGTGCTGAGGTTACAGGCATGAGCCATTGTGCCCAGCCTATATTTAGATTGTCTTATGTCTTTTTTTTTGGAGATGGAGTCCAGCTCTATCACCCAGGCTGGAGTGCAGTGGCGTGATCTCGGCTCACTGCAAGTTCCACCTCCTGGGTTCACGCCATTCTCCTGCCTCAGCCTCCCCAGCAGCTGGGACTACAAGTGCCCGCCACCACGTCAGGCTAATATTTTTGTATTTTTAGTAGAGATGGGGTTTCACCGTGTTAGCCAGGATGATCTCGATCTCCTGACCTCATGATCCACCTGCCTCGGCCTCCCAAAGTGCTGGGATTACAGGCGTGAGCGACCACGCCCAGCCCTTATGTCATTTTTTAATCTCTAATAGTGCTGACAAACTTCTATCATGTTGAGTCCTGTAACCACAGAACTTAGCCCAAAGACCATTAAGATCCTCTCCAGCTAGGTAATAAGCCATACAGAAGTTCAAACTGCTCCCTTGGCCTTACTGCTGCTTCTTGATGAGGTTAAATGAAATTTATGATTTAAGCTGTTTTTACATTTTAGGTTATCACAAACTGCTGACTAAGAGTGTGGCCGAGACTCCAGTGCATAAGCAGATCTCCAAAAGGCTGTTGCATAGACAAATCAAGGGCAGGTGAGTGACATCCCCATCCAGGCTTCTTCATACACCCACACCACCTCAAAGCGACCTTGTGGGCCACTACTTGGCTTCTCTTGACCTTCATGATTTAAATCTTAACTATGCTGCTTAAAACCAAAGAGCAGTCTATAAGCTCTTCATGGGAGCAGGAGAACCATATAAAATGTACACTTGTCTGGCCTCAATTATTTTGAGATTTATCCATGTTGCTGCATGCAATAGTTCATCCTGTTTTATTGCTGAGAAGTATTTCATGGAATAGATAGTCCACGGTTTTTAAATCCATTCATCTGTGAACATGGGGAAGGTGGAAGTCTGGGATCCCAAATCGGCCTTTGCTGACAGAGGTGTAGGTGGGGCTGCAGTTTTTTTCTGCAGCGATTGGTTGGAGTAGGGCAATTACTGTCTCAAAGTTTTCTGTCTTGCTTGGCTGACCCTTTCCTAGTTCTTTGGCTTGAGAGCTCTCCTTCCTTGGGGCATCTGTAGTCTGCTCCTGGTATACCTGAGTTGTCAGCTTCTCTGGCACCCAGTCTAGGGGTGTAGGCAGCAAACAGGGGTGTAGACAGCAAACAGAAAACCCAGGGAGTTCACTGCCCTCCTCAGTCCCAAAGTCCCCAGCCAAGCTGCCTTTTTCTCTCTGCCTTTCAGAATTGTCTTCTGCTCATTGTATAGATAATGTCATGGGTTTTTAGCTTGATTTCAAGGATAATAGAAGCACACCTACTTCATTTTGTCAGGAACCCATCTTGACATTATTTGTATATGGATTTTACACACTTGTGAAGTTTATAGGTTAAATTGCAAAAAGTGAAATTGGTGGGTCAGAGGCATATATATTTTTAATTAAATTTTTTATAAAGTCCTTGACACATTGGCAGAAATTAAGGCTCTTAAACAGAAACTTGAATGTTGGTGCTCATTACTGTGATAGTCTGATGGTTTAGTATAAGTTTTTAATACATTAATGGGGTTTATAGTTCTGATGTTGTAAAATTGCTTTCCAAAAAAAAAAACAAAAGCAAAACAAAGCCACATTCTAACCATCTCACTCTTTTTTTGAGTCAGAGTCTCGCTCTGTCACTCAGGCTGGAGTGCAGTGGCACAATCCCAGCTCACTGCAACGTCTGCCCTCCCGGTTCAAGCGATTCACCTACCTCAGCCTCCAGAGTAGCTGGAACTACAGGTGTGAGCCACCGCACCCACCTGATTTTCTTTATTTTCTTTTTTTTTTTTTTTGAGACTGAGTCTTGCCTCTGTCACCAGGCTGGAGTGCAGTGGCCACGATCCCGGCCACTGCAACCTCTGCCTCCCAGGTTCGAGCGATTCTTCTGCCTCAGCCTCCCAAGTAGCTGGACTACAGGTGCATGCCACCATGCCCAGCTAATTTTTGTATGTAGAGATGGGGGTTTCACCATGTTGACCAGTCTGGTCTCGACTCCTGACCTCAAGTGATCTGCCCGTTCAAGTGATTCTTCTGCCTCAGCCTCCCAAGTAGCGGGACTAACAGGTGCACACCACCACGCCCAGCTAATTTTTGTATGTAGAGATGGGGTTTCACCATGTTGGCCAGGCTGGTCTCAAACTCCTGACCTCAAGTGATCTGCCCATCTGAGCCTCCCAAGATGCTGGGATTACAGGCGTGAGACACTGTGGCCAGCCTCCCTGCTTGGCAATAATCACGTATGAGAGCCCTTTTCCAGCCACTGGTGTTATCCAGACCCCTTTGATCTTTGTGATCTTGTTAAGTGAGAAGCTGCCGCTCTCCTTAATAAGTATTAATTACAAGTGGTAGGGAATAATCCCTTGGTGCATGTGGTTCCTCGAGGTCTCTGGATCCCTGGTGG